ACTATCAGGGGCACGACATTAATAATGACTGCAGGAGCTATGGAAAATCTATATTCAAGAATATGTTAAAACGTATTCACATTTTCTTTCAGACTGAATGCCATACGTACCTCACTGCAGTAAAAAATATGTATCATATAGCCGCGAAGATGATGCAATCAGACATAAAAAAGGTGGAGGTAGTAGAAATACAGGATGAGAAGATCAGCGAAGTAAACGGGTCGGAAGTCGAAAATAAATATAAAACAGATACAAGATGGGGCGACACTAAAATTACAATAAAAAAAGAAGTTGCAGAAACAGATAAAGACAAGAAATGTGACAATAAAGTCTCTGTTAAGAAAGAAGTTACAGAATTCGAGAAAGAAAAAAAGTAAAAGATATTGCAGTTTTTTTATTAATGAAAAATGTAAGCGCACCGGTACAAAATTCTAATTGTTGTAACAGCAACAGATAAATGGGGAAAAATTTTATTATGAAAATAGTATAACTCTGAAGACTCTGTTTTATAACTTTTTTCACTCATTGACACTGTCTTTGTGCGTATTATATTAGAAAGAAAATGGAGCAGCATTCTAGTGAAAATAAGTGATACTAAATAATATAGATACTAGAATCATTACATTGCAAAATTTCATATGCGTCGACTTTTCCGCAGATAAACAAAATTCATAAAAATACTTCAAATATGACCCTGATCTGCCATAAAGTGCCAGATATTGAAGTGAATAAGTTTACATTGAATATTGCCATTTGACCAGTAAAATATTTTTAAATTTCTACCGACTTTCTAGACAAATTCAATCATTGATATACCTGTGGTCACTTAATATGTGATTTCTTTCGGTTTTGTTCAGTCATTAACTGTGATTCATTGACAAATTATTTTTTTCTGCAAATAGTTTGCGTTTAGAGTTACAAGGTTGGCATTACTTTATATGTGAATTATGAATGTCATAGTTTCGATCTTGAAGTGACCTTAGATAAATTTTATTTATCACGGTCATTACACGTTTGATGGTAGCAATATGTTTGTATTATGTTGTAAGTGTATTTATTGTTTTGTACACAAAAGCAGAATAATAAAATAAAACTTTTACGCAGTATGTATAACACCAATCATAAAATTAAACAATAATAATTAATTTATGGGACATCGTTAGCATTTCTCTCGAATAACTGTAAGTAACTTAAAACGGTACCTAAGAGTAACTTTAACACCAAAGCATCATCGGTAAACAATTTAGTTTCATATGTACGAAGCGTAATAATGTTATGGCAAAACTCTAATTAGGAGATTTTTGTTAATATTTATTTGAATTTCCAGATTAATAATGGCTAAACGAAAATATAGAAAGATGAGTGCTCATGACGTCCCTTGTTTATAACACATGTTGTTCATTATATGAAGAGACAATGTCCTGAATATATGAAACAAAAACTGTGTTTTTCGAACATTCGTTGTTTCGTGTGTTCTATTATAAGATAGCACGCATTACCAAGAACACTACTTTGTACATAATAATCTACAGTAATGAATAATTTTTGTAGTTTATTATTAGAACATTGCATTTTTGTCAGTAAGTCATTAGTGTATTAAGAATAAATTGTAAAATTTCTTCCCTAAATAGTTAGTTTTCTAAAACAGAAGTGTACAACTCGTGGCTCACGAGCCATCGATTCTCTTTCCTCTCATGACCTGGTCGGCAACAGTTACCCCTTTCCATATCTGCTTACTTTCCCTTCCTCTTTCTCTTATGTGTGAACACCGTTACGAGCAGACTAATCGCTACTACAAATACACATTTGTAGAAGTCTCCTATTATTTATTATTCAATATATCTGTATTGAACACTACATAGCGCTGCTCATAGTGGGAGTATCGATTAATACTAACCGTACTGACACTTTTCCTGTCGTAACCAGTCAAATTGGCAGACAAACTGGCTGTAAAATAAAGATAAACAAATTAGATGATAAATGTTTTGTAGTGAAAACAAAGAAAAGGAAAGACAAAAATTGAAAACTCGAGTAATCGGACAATATGAGAATTGATATTAATATTACATGTACGAAGGAAAACCTAGAATTTTAAATCCGGCCATTTGACCAGTTCCCGGTACGGTTAGTGTAACTGAAGGTGAGTTTCGAGGTAGCTTCCGGAGGAGGGACAGTAGGAGAACCATTGAACGAGAATCATCAGTTTCAGAGGAGGCAGTTTCACACCCCTACTCTAAAATATGAAGATATACACAAAAAATGAATGTTAAGAAACATTCTATGTAATTATTTTTATACCCTTAACAAAAATCCATATAAATGAATTAATTTTTATTATTTTTATTGTAAATATAAACTATTATAGTTTGAAACACTTTTATTTTTAGATTTAGTAATTCATATCGGAACTAACTTACAAAAGTTTCATAATCTCTATTTTTTTTATTTATGAAACCATTATCAAGAGGTTGAGAAATTTTATATTTAAAAATGAAATTAGTTATATTCGGGAAAATCAAACTGTCTTACACGCGAGTAGTTGTATGTAGTTTTCAATATAAACAGGTAACTTCTATACACGTGTACTTGTAGTACTACTAGCCCGATCGTAGTAACGTTCACACAGAAGAGAAAGAGGAAGGGAAAATAAGAATAACTCTTGCGGACTAGACCGTAATAGGAAAGAGACACCCTTGGTTAAAAAGATATTCAAGAGTTCTACACTTGACCGGCGTTATCTAGCAAGTCGGCACATGTCTATTCTCTCTTCAGATTGTTGTTTTCTGTAGCATATACATTTTTCTAGCATGTATATCATTATAATATGCACAGACATAAGATCTGTAAAAAGTGTTCCAAAATAAGGTGTCACAATTACCTCAGCGCGATTCTACACTTTTGATTTGATGGGAAAGGATGTATAATAAAAGTGCTCGTAAAATTCACGGTAAATTTTGAAAAAAGAGTTAAATTCTTTTACCGCTGCATCGTATTCTGTTCGTCATGGAAGTAATAGTCTGAAAAGAAGCATGGGTCGAAAGTAAATTCGTTCATCGCAAATTGCTGATGAAGTTCGTATAGGAGAGTAAGGGGCCACAATAATCTGTGACATAATGGATTCCCGGACTTGACACCATACGACTTCGTTCTGTGTCAAATTCCGTCACAATTTGTCATTTTGCACCTCAACAATCATTGCACTTGCTACCTCAACTAATCGTTATTCATGTAATTTGGAGGCGCACGCTCTGTTCTCGTGGTTTCTGTCGGTCGCGTATCAGTTAGGCAATTTTCTTATATCAAGTGTTCCGATTAAAATTTCCAAAATGTTTCTTCTCGAATCAGTTATTGCCGTTGGTAATGGGGACGGTAAAGGGTTGGTAAAAATTGCGATTAGTAGCAAATGCATGGTGAGTAAAGCTGACTGGAGTCCAGAATGACGAAGTCGGCCAAAGTTTACCAGGGATGACAAAAGTTAGCGTAATGCACCAGCTATGATAAAGGGTGGACAGAGTTCACCAAAAATTCTGAATACACCGTTGACTACACTGTGGAACACGATTTTTGTTTTGTAATAGCCACTAGGTGGTCCTTATAAGTAATCATCGTAATAATATTACTCCTATATGTGTATTAACATATTAAACAGCAAATTATTTAAAACAGAACGATCGTGAAAAGCTTTCTCATAATTATTATGAAAATTTATAAAACAATTAAACATTATATATATATATATATATCGGATTCGTATTTAGAGTAAGGAACTCTATGAGAATCATCTAGTGATTATTGGAGGACACAAAAAAAGTTCAAATTTGTTCCACAATGCTATGATTCACTGGTCGATAAATGATATCGATAGGCCTAATTCAATCATGGAAAAATATTATTTCCAAGCTCTTCCATAATACTATTGTAACTTTGCATTTTAAATATAAACTTTAAATCAATATTGTTAAATACAAAAATACTGCATGCTTTCATATCTATTCTAATCTTAAGGTAGTGAATCTACAAAATTTGGAAGAGGAAAATGGGCAAGATGAACACGTGAGATGAAATGGGCCAATTATTTATTTCACGTTGT